TTTTCTTGAGGGAGGTTGATCCGAGATTTTTCGGATTGCTCCCATGCCTCCCACTTCAGTTTTCTTTACTTTTCCTTTTCCTTTTAGCCTTCCCGTTTGTCATCATTAGTACTTGCACTAGTGGTGCTAATATTCTTGGCCGTCAAGATGTTGATCTTGATTGTGCTGCTTGTATTTATTATTTTTCCCTCATGCGGTGCCGCCGTTTCTTCTTGGGACTTTCACATGTCCCCGTGACTTGTCCCGTCGGTGGTCCCCGACACTTAGTCCCGCCGGTGGTCCCCGACACTTAGGCCCGTCGGCGGTCCCCGACACTTAGTCCCGTCGGCAGTCCCCGACACTTAGTCCCGTCGGCGGTCCCCGACACATTTCGCACCGGACGCCATTATTTTTACTTAGTCCCAGGTGGCCCCGAGTGCCTTTCCCCAATGTGTCCCATGCCCCTTGGGCGTCTTGTCGCCCCATAGCGACCCCTCTCTTTAGTTTTTCCTCGCGCCTTGTGCGTGCCAATCTCTTTGGTCGTGGGTCTTCGCTCCGAGGCTCCCGTAGGTGACCCCCACGTTGGCCCCTCATTTCCCGGCTTCCTGCGGCTTCTGGCCGCCCATCCCTCGACTTCCTCATTCCCTTATTGCTGTCGCGCTGCAATCGCTAGTTCAAAAGGCCCCTTGGCCTTAGTCCTATTGCCTTCCGATGACCCTCCCGGCCTCCTGCTATGTTCTATGTGCCCCTGTTCTTGCGCTTGCTCGCTTGCCGTCACTTAGTTCTTTCCCCCTGTGGTTCTCGCCCTAGGGCATTACTCCCTCCTGCGGCCTAATCCTTTATCTCGTCTCACTTCGGATTTCTCTGTTGTGCACAGTTCGTCCATATTCGGTCTCTCGAGTGATGGGCAGTTATTCGGGAGTCACTTGTCCCGACACATTCCCCCCACTCTTTCGTGATGTCCTCATCGCGCACCAATCTCTTGTCAGTGAGTTCTGGAGGGATAGATGAGAGAGGGAGATGAGATGTTACGGATGGTTAGTTTGTCAGGGTCCGTTTTGTTCTTTTCTCATTTCTTTCTCAAAGTTTTCCTTAGCTTCCGCTCCTTGGGGTGGAGGAGGGTATGGGGGAGTCAAAGGTTCTACAGCTTAGACCAGGTTGCTCATTTTCGTCATAGCTCTGCCTCTTTATCTTTTCCTCAATCGAGATGCGATCTTCCTCTTCAGTCAACTCTGTATATCCAGCAGGGAAGCCCATAATTCTTTGGCCTTCAGAAACATGGAGCAGACAAAACTCTCCTTGCTTCATGCACTTAACTACTGGTATGCTGACTTAATTCCCAGGGTGACAATTTGTTGTCATAACACAATTGGTTTTCTCATTTTATACCTTGGCTTTGTTGATAACAAATTGTAGGCAAGTTTTCGGATGCGACTCAATGTCAGGCATTTGCTCTGGAAGGGGGATGTTCGTAGGGGGATGTTCGTCAAGTACAATCGCCACCTTTGCTGTGATGATATCCACTTCGAATCAGTGAGCCCAGGCATAACCCCCCTCAAGTGCTTCGTAATCTCAAATCTATCTTCCCATTTCATTGAGAAAACATTATCGAGCAAAAATCATTTTGGTTTCGCCTCATTCATTACTCTTAGAGTCATAAAAAATAATCTACTTTTCGGCCTGTGCAATCCATGTTCTCCCGTCATTCTTTCCTCAGTCTCATGCTTAGCCAGTTCCCATGTATTTTTCCCATGTCATTTTGCCCAGCTTATGTGTGTCATCCTCATTTGTCATTTCTCGTATCCAGGCCTTAGAATGCGCATTACTCAGTTATTTTATTCACATCTTTCTTCTGGCCTTTTGCCACGCCTCTCTCATACTCATGCAAGGTCTATTATACCTGTATCTCTTTTCTGGGCGTCTTGCCAATCTTTTCCTTAGGTCTACGCAAAGCCAATTTCAAATATCTTTCTTTTCTAAACATCCTGCCAGACCTTCTCTCAAGCCCATTTTAGGTCAAATACTCATCCATTTCTCTCCTGGACATCTCGCCAGGTCTCTTCTCAAGCTCATGCGAAGTCATTCACACATCTTTTCCTCAGCTGGACACCTTGCCAGGTCTTTTCTCTGGCTCATGCAACGTCAATTATTCATCCATTTCTCTTCTGGACATCTTGCCACACCTTTTCTCAAGCCCATGCAACGTCACTTCTTCATCCGTTTCTCTTCTGGACATCTTGCCAGACCTTTTCTCAAGCCTGCGCAAAGTCAGTTACTCATCCATTATTTTCTTCTAGACATCTTGCCAGACCTTTTTTCAGGCCTGCGCAAAGTCAATTACTCATTCATTCTTTTCTTCTGGACATCCTGCCAGACCTTTTCTCAAGCCTGCGCAAAGTCAATTACTCATTCATTCTTACGCTCATGGTATCCTTCTCTTTTGCACGCCTTTTCTTTGGTAGATGGCACACCTTCCCCCCACTCAAAATACGATGTCCCCATCGCACGACCAGTTCTCACTCGGAGGTACGCAGACCTTGGCCCACCAACTGAGTAGTCGGATGTCGGCCCATCAGCCCCAAAAAGGAAGGGTGATCAGTCCTCCCCCTGCTGATAACTCATCTCATCCCCTACTCTAGTCCGACTTTTTGCTGCTTACGAGACGGGCGTCATCACTAAGGTACCACCCCACATCTGGAAGGTAGGTCCAGTCCAAGCCTCCTAGGACCCCATCTTGCCGTAAGTGCTTTCTCGCGAATCGTTCCTCCCGAGCGGTGTTTCCTTGGATCCGGCCTCTTCCTTTCAAGAGAGTTGGGGCTCTCTATTAGTCTGCGAGTGCAGTTACGAAGCCTCGCGGTTAGTCCCGGAACGGTTGTAATGATTCGGCAGGGCGATGTCACTTGCTCTGTGGTGGTTGCGGCCTCCACCCGGTACCACGCCCGATTCCTCCCTCTGGACAGTACTGCTCAACTTAACGCGAGCAGTTGTGGTCCATTCCAAACGGCCGTGCCGCCCCTCTACGGCATGGCGTGTGGTTGGGGAGAAAAAATGAGACTTAGGAAAAAGAATGACACTCTCGCCCGTTTGGCACCACGCCCTTGACGTTTAGGTTTCAACATGAGGCGCAGTTTGAACTCCCCAACTAGAGCTCGTTGTCGGGGTTAGTTCTGGACGACCAGTATCAATCAAGGAGAGAGATGCTTTGATCCTTCAACCCTTATCCTTTTTTATGAGGAGCAGGTCGCGCTGAGACTTTTCCCTTAACGGGTAGAGGTCTTGGGGTCGCGATGCAGACATTGCTATCCCCCTTATGTTGAGACCTGAGACTAGAAAAAAAGAAAAACTCAATCTCTTGCTATTTCCATGGTCGGCCCGACGGCCTTACATCAAGTTGCCTAGGGTCCCCTGGCTATGCAATGCAATATCCAATCTTCAAACACTCAATCCCATGTTATTTCCAAGGCTGATTCTCATGGCTGGTCCGGCAGCCTCTCATCAACAAGGCCACCCACATGGGCGGTCGGGCGGTCATTTTCTCAATAGTCATTTCTCAAGACTGACCCTTCCGCCCATTCAATCCTCAAATCTTTCATTCCTCAACACCCAATCTCTGTGACCGTCCCAACAGTCCTTTCCCTTCTTGCTTTTAAGGTTCGGCCTTCTTTATCCTGCCCTGCTTATTCACATTTTTCTTCCGCCCCCTAGGCTATTTCAGCGGCCGACCCACCGGCCTTTTCCATCTCTTCCATTCATTCCATTGGCTATTTCAATGACCGACCCATCGACCTTTTCCATCTCTTTCATCCATCTATTGGCTATTTCAATGACCGACCCATCGGCCTTTTCCATCTCTTTCGCTCATTCTAGCATATTCTCAATCAACCTTTCTAAATCATCCTTTCTCAATCAAATATGCAGGGGACCCCAGTGCCTATTTCAAAAGGAATGACCCTTGTCAGGGTTCATTCCCGAACAACCTGGTTAGGGTCATTCTTTTCCATTCTTAAGTCGAACAGCCTTGTTAGGGTCATTCCTTTCCATTCTCAACTCGAACAGCCTGGTTAGGGCCATTCCTTTTCATTCTCAAGTCGAACAGCCTGGTTAGGGTCATTCCTTTCCATTCTCAATGTTAGTGCCCGAGGAGGTGGGCCTCGAGGTTACGGATCTCATTTCTGTCTTGGAGGTTAGGAGGTGGTCATCTCATCTTTTGCGTGCTGTTCTCTTTCTTCCATTTCTCACAGTAATGTACCATCCATTTCATTTCTCACAGTAATATACCATCCATTCCATTTCTCACACTAATGTACCATCCATTCCATTTCTCACAGTAATGTACCATCCATTCCATTTCTCACAGTAATGTATCATTCATTCCATTTCTCATAGTAATGTACCATCCATGCATACATCCGACTTAGCGTCTAGCACTCGAGTTGGGGCTCGTGACCCCAAGCAACACTAGCTCACCCGGCCGTTCAACCATAGCAAGAGACAGGGGCGCCCCTTTTTTTCTTCACTCGTTCCGATGACTCAGATCTTGACCATTTTCAAACTAATTCATGACTTGGTTGGATTAGGCTCCTAGGGAAGGAGTACTCTTCATGCCCCTTAACCCATAAGTTCCCTAACCTCTCTTGTACTCGACCAATCATTCAATGCCATGGTTCGCTCGTCAATCCGTACTCAAGGTTTTCCCCTCTCAAAAGCATAATCCTTATTCCATCCATAATTCACAATACACCCTCTCCCAATTGGTCTCATCCCAAATCCCATGTCTTTGTCTTATATACCCAAGGTAGCTCATCCAAAAAGTGGCCTAAAAAACTATCTTCTATCTTATCGTGACACGACCTTGGCTGACCCTCTTTTTTACTTCATCCTTAGCAGCTTGCCCATACTGTACATGTTCTCGTCATTCTCATGTCTCCGCAGACAGAAAAGCAGCGATCCCCTTCAATGCTAAGTCAACACTTAGTTCCTATTGCTGCCTTGCACCTCGTCTTGCCCAGTTCCTTGTCCACCCTGTTCCTCGGCAGGCTTCCTGACCCCCAGGCCGTAGGTCTCGATTTCTCTCTTCTTTCTTGCAATTCCTTGTAGTTCAATTTCACTGAAGAAGTCCAGCGGCGTAGCTTCCACTCCCGCCTTTGTCAGTTCCCGGGTCTTGATAATCCATTYGTGYCTGATCACATTGGTCCATTGCTGAAACCAATGACTGGGTGTTGGTCCAAACTCGTCCTCCCATCCGAAAGCCCCATCGCCCGGCTGGTGCATCGGAGGCCGCCCTTCTTCCCTAGGCCTTGAGATCTCATCCTTCTCATCCTCACTGCTGATTTCTATGACTTCTCGTACATCCTCCTCCTCGTATTCCTCGTCTTTTGTCTGTATGGGGCTACACCCACCTGCAAGGTTCTTCGGATCGTAGGTAAAAGAAATATTTGTCCCCATCCCATACCGTTCACAACTGTCGTGGTCGCTTCGTCCTTCAAGCGGGCTTTCCCTTCTCTCCTCACCCTCCTCATGTTCGTCGCGCATGTCTTGTTCCCCCTCGCTTTCCCCATGCCAAGTCTCACGTCGTTTGCCCCTGTTGGCTCCTTCCTCGTCAGAGACATGATCCTTATCTCTCATATCTGCATTGCCTCCTTCTTCCACTTCTGCCTCTTCCTTCCTTCCCTCACTGTCAGACGAGATTTCTATACCTTCTCCCTCGCGGAGGGGTGAGGGTTTCCTACACAAGCATTTCCTTCCACCCCTGCCTACCACTGGCCCACCCATGAGCCCTATGTACAACTTTCTCTTCGCTGCCCTCCTCCCTTGGCTTAGTCCTGCTTCCTCCCCCCCAGTAGGCCTGTTGATCGCCCCGCTGTCATTTTCGTTGCCGAATTCCTTTTTTTTTTTTTGCCTTTTCTCGTCTTTCTCCTAGGTCCTGTATAACAAAACAACACCCGCAATGCCCCGCATACACACATCTCCCCCCCCCAGTCCGGTAGGCAGCTCCCTTTCCCAAAAAAATGCTCCCAGTATCCTTCGCATCATGCCCCTTTTATACATTTCCCTCCCTTACGCAAAAACGTCGTTTGTGAAGATCCCATTTTTTTCTTGTCAAAAACTATGGTATAATGCCCCAAACACCCCTTCCCATCGTCGTACAAGCCAGATATTGCAAACCCCCTAGTCATGCTGCCTTTCATCCTCAGTCAGTCCAAGCCATTGCCCCAGTCCCCCAAAAATGACAGTCCCAAGGACATGGTCAGAGACAAACCATAGTGCGGGCAAGGCTGTGAACAGTCTTTAGCTTGTGGCCCCTCAGTTTCCTTATCTTCGGCCTCCTGAAGCCATTGTTCCACTGGGTCCCGACTTAGAAACCTGACCAATCGCTGCCCCGGGAAGGGCCCTTTCAATCCAGTTCCATCCAAATATTCCAGTTCAAAGGTGTTCAGTCCCACCCGCTTGGCGACCCGGTAGGGGCCTTTGAACCTTTTTCCCAGTTGTCCCGACCAAGTACTCTCTAGTGCCGAGTTCCTTAGTAATACCATCTCTCCCACTTGAAGTGGCTCCTTTCTGACATTCTTAACCTGGTCCCACCTTGCTTTGTCCCTCATTCTGCTGTCTAGTACGCGGTTAGCGATGTCTTCCATGACCTCCTCGTTCTTAAGGATCTGTTGACATCTTGCCTCGATTAACTCTTCAGTAGTCATTTGCGGATTATCATCTAACCTGTTCCAGGTAGGTACCAAGGCTTCCACAGGAAAGTCGATCTCTCTTCCGTACCAAAGTTCTGTCGAGATACATCCTGTTGTCCTTTTAGGGGTCATATTCTCCGCAAAGACAGCCTGCTTAAGATACCTAGGCCAGTTCCCCAGATGGTCCGCTGCGAGCTTCGCAATCGTGTTCTTCAAGGTTCGGTGGCCCCTTTCCACAAGTGCATTGGCCTCAGGGTGATACGGCTCGATGAGTTTGATAGGTACGCAGAGTCTCTTAAGCATCCCCAATACTTCTTGGTTCACAAACTCCGTCCCATTATCTGTTATAAACCTCCTGACGAAAGGATGCCTCAAGTAGAAGTCTTCTATCCAGTCCGCCACACTCCTCCCTGTCTTTTTCTTGAGGGTTACCGCCTCCACGAACCCACTCAAGTTGTCTCGTGCATCCAGGATATATCTGTACCCATCCGTTGATACAGGCATGACCGCAAGGTCGAGGTGGACCAGATGTCCCGGCCCGAGCATGCGCGTTGGTCTAAGCGGCTCGAAGACCCGCACCGAGCTTCGTTCTTGGCAAATAAGGCAAGTCTGGCAGTATATGGCGACCATGCCTGCCATGCCTGACCAATAATAGAGTGGCGTTATCTTTGCAAGCGTTCCCTTGGACGACCGATGACCTCCAGCTAACCCGTCGTGCATTGCTTGGATAACGTCTACTTGCCTAGATCTTTCGCACACAATCCTTCTGAGCATAGCACCTTCCTCCCTTCAAAACAAATGCCCGCCTCTTAGGACGTACCTTTCGGCTTCTTCTCTTGCTTTAATACTGACTTCCGTAGGTTGTTTGTTGCCTACCAGCAACAGCCCGATCTCTCGAAAGAGCCCTTCGTATGATTGGACATAGAAAAACTCCTCCCTTTCCTGGCCCCGATCCTTTCCTTCATGCATCTGGTTTACCACCCATTGCAACTCTTTCCTTTCCCAAGATTCCACTAAACTCATCACTGCTTCCCGATCTCCTTCGACCGCCATTGCTATTAGTTCCTCCTTCGGTCCTACTATCGCTCCCCATGAGTCATTTTCTTCTCTACGTCCTCGAGTGGTGACTGGTCCTTCTCTAAGTTCTGCTACTACGGCAGGTGCCCCCTTCTCCAAAGTCTGGATCAATAGTTCTCCCGATGTGCACTCCTTGCTCATCATTTCGTTATCTACCGCAAAAGTCCCTCCTTCGTATTCGAGGAATGCGTCTATGGGCTTCGCACCCTCCACCCCTTCGAGAGTGATACAGACCCGGCTCAGCCCATTGGTCTTGTTCCTAATTCCCGCAATTCGTTCGATTATATAATCGAACTGCCAGATAAATCCTACCCATCTCCCCACTGTCGGGTCTATAGGCCTGTAATTCTTTAGGGCCCCCGCAACATTCGTTGGATCGATCCTAAGGATGAACCGCCTCCCAAATAGGTAGGCATGAAAGGTCTTAAGGCAGTGCAAGATGGCTAGGACCTCCTTCTTGAACTGCGAGTACCGCCACTCTGCGGAGTTCAGGGTTCTACTTTCGAACCTAATTGGCCTGTTTTTTCCTCCCTCATCCCTTTGAATCAATACGCCCCCTACGGCTAATGGTCCTCCATCCGTCTCTAGGATGAAGGGTCGTCCTACTTCGTCATTAAAACAAGGTGCGGACAGGGCGACTGTCTCAGATGTCAACATGTCCTTAAGCTTCTGGACTGCTGCTTCTCGCTCCTCCGTCCAATCCATGGTTCCCTCCTCCCTGATCATAGCCCGGATAGGCTCCGCAATTTTGGCAAAATTCTTAATGAAGATCCTCCAGAAGTCGACCACGCCTAGGAACGCTCTCACTTCCGTTGTGGTGCGAAGGGGGGTTGGCCACTGCGATATCTTGTTCGTTTTCGCCGGATCCGGCTTCGTACCGTAAGCACCGCAGCGAAATCCTAGTATGGGTAATTCTGGAACTACTAGAATACTCTTTGGTCCACTAGCCGTGATGTTGTATACTAGGAACCGGCGGAGCAAGTCCTCGATGTATTGTAGATGGTCTCATACAAACTTTCGGATTCCCAGTTGGACTTCTGTCTCGTCCTTCTCCTGCGCACCTTTGATCGGATTATCGTCGATATAGGGCTCACACTTTTCTGGAAACATATCCCCGGCCACGGCGAGCATTCTGCATTGCGCTTCGGCCACCGCGTTTGTGAATCCCATAGGGGTCACTTGCATCTGTAGCTGGCCTACGGGGGTGTGCATAGCGGTGTACGGTCTGTCCCGGAAATCCAACGGAAGCTGGTCGTACCCTGAGTACAGATCTATCAGGGAGTAAATGCTCCGACCGGCGTGCTAATAAGTCAGCCTGAGGTAGGGAGCCGGCATCCCGAATGGTTACCGCATTCAACTTCTACAGATCCTGAATCTACCTTAGTGTCTTGTTAGGCTTTCGGCGACGCCGTAGGCTCTGCAACGAAGGAGTCCATTTTTGCTCGGAGAAGGTCTGTCACTTCCCCTGCTATCCCGAATTCATAGGACGGCCCCTTGTCATTCCAGCACTCATGTTCTACCGTGTGGATTCTGACCGGAGGGATCAGCTTCGCATCCAGTTGTCCCTTCTGGAAGCTCCTAGCAGGTCCTTTTGATCAGGCGGGTTTCTTCTTCTATTAGGAACCCGTCTATCCCTATCTTCATTGTGTCAGCTACCTCATCTGGTATCCGATGTCCCTCCGTCGCCCTTCTTTCTCGGATTACTCGAAGGACTTCTTCCTCCTTCTCCATAGCCTCTTCCTTTGATGTCTCTAGCAAGATCGGGACCGGTTTTGCTTTCTTCCCTACCGGCTTGTACTTTCGAACACTTCCTTCCGGGATCGTTCTCCTAAAAAATGAACAGTCGGAATCGCCCTCGTTGCCTCTACAACTCATGGTTGAATACTAACTAGTTTCCCATTCAGACAGTATTCATTTTGCACCTCTCCTTTGAACTTGGCCAGGGCTGCTGAGTCCACTCCTACCTTGTGGTATCTGAGAGCCTTGATGAGCTGTAACAGATCGGGGATCTCGAGTGCAACTTCTGGCACGTCTATGCGTACTTCTTTCCGTTTGGGCAGGCTAGCACCAAGTTCGACCTCTGACTCCTTTTCTGCTACCATAACCCCTAGGACTTCTTCCTCCTGCCTCCTCTTCTTCTGGGGCAGGCCCATCTTGATCCACTCCCTCTTGTTGAATGCCTCCTCAATCACGATTTCTACCCTTTCTCTCTTACCCTCCATCCGTGCGAAAACCCCTTTCGCGTGCTATCCTGGAACGACGGCGACCAGGTTGCCAATTTCCCCCTCCGGGGGTCTCCTCCCGTCCCAAGGAGTCAGAGGAGCTCTCCCCGGCCGGTCACTGGGTCCTTTATGTCTACCATGTATGAGCCATCGTGCAAGTGCATGCCTATCATCTCTACGTTCGCTCACGATGGTCTCCCGAGGATTATGTCGTGGTCCATTTCCTCCATTACGGTCATCCGCTGAAACGACCAGATCGATTCCCTGACTCCTGCCTTTACAGCACACTTCATGACGTACCCAACGAACGGGATTTCTCCGCCAGCTCCCCGGATGCTCCCTGTTACTTCCTTGTTTACCGTACATCCCGTGATCATTGCGAAATCTCTTCTTATGAGAGTGATTTATGCTCCCCCGTCTACTGATGTGTCGGTATAATGAGTCCCGATCTAGATTTTCAGCTTCCCTACGGGCAGTGCATGAAAGCTAAGCTTTATCCCGGGTGGTGACCTCATGACCTCGCCGCCCTCTCGGTCGGGCAAGCTCAAACGAATGTCCGCAAAAGTTTTATCGAGATCTTCCAAGTCCCCGTGACTCCTCTGAAGGTTAGCCACTTCTTGCGGAACTTCCTCCTCCCTCTCTCCTTCTGGTAATTCGGGGTTGTCGCCTATTTCTACTCGCCGCCGAGTTAACAGTTGTCTAAGCGCTTTGAGCATCCTAGGGCTAGCCTGCAGCATGGTCTGGAAAGACACCGACATCATGGTTCCTAGTAACTTGCTAATGGTGTCGTCGATCTCAGGCAAGGATAAGATCGGGATTTGGTACCTAAACTTCTTTTTGGCCGCGGTAACTTTGTCCGTAGGCTCCTCTTCCCTAGGTTTCCCATAGACCTTTTCCGGTTCCTCGGCCTCAGGCTCTGCCTTGGGTTACGAACTTCCAACAACCTCTTCCATCATGGTGTCACGGTTAATCCTTCTTCCAGCCGTTCCTAGTCGAGTGGTTGCGTTCACCCTATCACGTCCGCCGTTTTTCAAAATAAAGTTGACCTACGGCCCGCGCCCCCGGAGTTGATCCCAGATGATCTCGCCCACCGGTTCGGCTTCTACGGCCGTTATTTCTAACCCGTTGAGCATGATAATGGCTCGCCGCATTCCTCCTGGCGAGTTCCAGTTCACCCGTTCCCCTTGTGGTCCAAATATTTCCCCCTTTAATGACCTGGTACACCTTCTTTTCAGAATATCATGGTTGAGCTTTGGGCATGCGCGCACATAATGTCCCATCGCGGTACAGTGCTTGCATTGCTCGTTAGCAGGATCTCTCCGTCCGAATCCCCAGTTAGCTACACCTGGCGGAACCACAGCTTCCTGGGGAGGGAGAGCGGGTCGAGACACTTGCGTCTGCATAACCAGTAGCGCGCCCTCCATCCTCTCAATTTTATTGTCGACCTCGTGCACCCGCTCATGTAGGCTTTCAATCCCCTTTTTAACCTTGTCGCCCGCTCTACCGGTCAGATCTATGACCTCACCTTCCTTAAGCAAGGCCAACGTCTCGGTCACTACCGTCTTTTTTGTCAGATCCGTTACCGTACTGAAATCAACATCCTTAGTATTTACAAATTTGTTCGTCTGTTGGTAAGCCGACAGGATCTTGTCCTTACCGAACTCGAAGAACTGTCTGAGGAAGTACTTACTCATTATTTGGTCCGTAACCCCGGGGATTCTTAGTGCTACCAAAGTAAACTCCCGTAGGAAGTCATTGTACATTGTGAAGTTCTTGCTCTGGACTGCCTCTAAATCGGCCTCCGTTGCCATCTTCTCTGCTGCCGGATACTTTTTCATCATCAAATCTCGGGTTTCTTTCCAAGACCGGCTCGCCGCCACGATGGCCATTATGTCCCGTCCTAGGCTCAAAGACACATGCTGCCCCAGGTGGTCCATTTTCTCCTCTTCGGTCTATTTCAACAATGCAGCCAGATTCTCGTAATCTATCAGGAATTCCGTGATGTTTTCCCTATCAAACGTCAACTTTTTCTTAGCATCCGCTAGGTAGCCTTGATTTTTGTTCAGTGCTTGCGCGAGGGATGATACTTTCTTCTTAAGGCCGCCCTCGGAGCTGCTGGCCTCGCCTGCCATACTGTTATCCGGACCTTCCTTGTCGGCCTTCTGTCCCTCCTTGGTTTTCGCAGTTCCTTCTGGGTCAAACCATCCCAACACTCTTTCCCTAAGGCTCCAGAGTCCTTAGCACCGTCACGTTACTGCTGGCGTGGTCGGCAGGCGGCTAGCCCTACTATCTATGGCTGGCGGGGTCGTAGCCTTTTCTGCTTCCATCCCCAGAGAGTTCTTTCTTTCTTTCCTTCTCTTGCTCGACGTTCCCCCACGGTCACTACCTTTATCCCCTTATCCAGTCCCACCTCGACTGGTTTTCCGTTCGTCCCGGGGTTCCTCCTGCAGAGGGCCTTTTTCGTTCTCAGTCATCATTTCCTCAATCAATCTTGCCTTGTACTCTGCGGTCCTTTTTTCTATCTCGGCTAGTTTGCGTCTCGCATCCGTGACCCTTACTTTCTTAGACACGGCTCCTTCCGAGTTTTGGGGGCTTGCCCTGTCCTTATTTTTGCCCTCCTTGGTCTCCTGAGTCCCTTGCCTGCTTCCCCCGGCTTTCCCCGAGCTTTCTCCTGAGGAGATCTCCTTCCGGTTTCCTTTGGTACCATCCAGATTTATCGATTCTTTGTCCTTCTGCCCCTCTTCGCTTTGTACGGCACTGCCTCCTAAGCCTGGTCCTCCTTCACTCTTACGGTTATCTGCCTCTTCCTCCGTTGCCATACTTGCCTACTTCTGCATAACCCCAGAACAAACGCAGTGCGAGGCATTTAGGTTCCCTAGGTTCCAATCCTGTTGGTTTATCGCTTCTACTTAGCAATTAGGCTTTTTCCCATTCCCATTTCCTGATGGCTTCCTTAATATGGAGTCGCGTCCGGCTCTGCCGCCTCACCGAGCTAAGGGCGTGACTTAGCTACCCTTATCACTGGCTCGTTTAGAGCGCCCTTATTCCGTTGGTCGACGCGTAGGGGTCCGGGTTGGGCAACCTGCTAGGAAAAGTTTTCCTGTGCAGTGTTCCCTGTCTGGCGGTTATTGATCATGCGGGTCTGAGGCCCCGTTTTCCTATCTCTGTTGGTGAGCCTTCGAACATAGCGGACTGTACTTGATTTGGTCTATAGGCTCGCCGACGGGTGCTAGTCCTGTTCTCGCCCTCGTGGCCCTTCCGGTTCGGTAGGTTCCTCGAAGAGTCGGTAGATCCTGTCGCATGCACTCGTCCTGGGAGGTCCAAATCTACGCCCCCGAACTCCCCTCTCGCACGCCATTCCAGCTCCACTACTAGGTACACCGTGTCCTCCACCAACTCTTACCCCACCCAGTCCATTACCGGATTACTTACCGCATTTCTTGTCGGCAGGCTTATTTCGACCCTGCCTTCCGATACCCTTGGTGACAGGATCCCGCGAGGTCTATCCCCCCAGAAAGTCATTCGTCAGGCCATCTTGAAATGCCTCCTTTCTTGCTGCCTTAGTCCGATTGCTGCACTCACCGAGATTCCATGCCTTTCGTGTTTTAGTCTTTCAGCCCTTCGCTACTTATCGTACACTGGTTCTTGCCGCTATCCACGACCCATACACGTACAATTCTACCCCCCCCTTTTTTCGGCTACTGCCACTTCCCCCTTGTTTCGATCCTTATGCACCATCTACGGCCTAATGTACACACGCCCTTTCTTATGTTACACGTCAACTCACAAGCACCCTCCATACTCAGGCCTTTTCGCGGTGTTCGATCCCTCAGCCTCATTTAGTCGAACCACAACACCTCAAATAGTTTAAAGACATCGTCTATGTAGGAGGGTGCGGCCGCGGCCTCATTTAGGCCAAGTACATGCAGTCCGAGTGGATGGTACCAACCCGGACTGCCTCTTGGCCTACTCCGGCCTCTTTTTCATTGCTCTAATGCTGCCCCCTAGGGTCCTAATGCCCAAGGGGCAACAATACTTGAAAGAAAAAGGCCTTGTGGGCCTTTTTCTCGATTTTTCCAAGTTTCGGCCTCCTTTGGGTAGGCCGGAGCATTTTTCCATGTGGCGGCACATTTTCAGCCTTGGATCTGGCTGAGATCCAAGGCCAGCAATAATCCGAGATACCCTCTAGTAGCCCTTGCTTCAATTTTGAGCCCCTAAGTCTACTTTTTCAACTTTTGGTACATCTGGCTCTCTTTTTGGGCCAAATGCACTATTTTGTCTTTTTCCCTCTTTTGTTTATTTCCATTTAAGGCTGCCACCTCATTCCGGAGCTAGCCGTTTTGAGCTGACCCACAAAAAACGGCTAGTTCCTCTTCACCATGAGATCTGATCTCAGATCCATGGTCAAAAAGAAATCCGGCCACTTCCTTTTTGCTTTTTTCTCTCATTTTCTGCTTTTTAATTCAGATTTTATTGAGGGCCATATCTCTGCAATCCGGATTGCCCTCCCTCATTCTAGGAGTTATGAGGTCACAGCTGGGACCTGCCAGTCCCTACTGTGCAGGTCCCAATAGGCCGACACACTCTCCTCCACTCTTTTCTCCATCTTTTTCTCATTCTCCCTGCTTTTTCTCTCATTTTTCTTTATTTTTCTTTTATTTCTGTTGTGACAAGTGTCAACCTGCTGTACATCCTCTTTTCTAGGCCTTAGGGCCTCATTCAAGGCCAGGTTCATGGCTGTTACTTGGCCGTTACATCTCGGATTCCAACAATGGCACCCCCATGCTCTTAGGGGGCTCCATTTTGCTCCCGTTTGCCCATTTTTTAGCCCCTTATGCTCCGATTTTCAAAGGGCAGCCTTTTTCTCATGTTGAGCCTTTCAAGGTTCTATTTTCTTATGCCTAGCTGGTCCGAGATATCCCGGACTGTTGGGCAGCCTTCTGAACACCCTTATTTTACTTTTCTTTCTCCCATGACTCTCCCACTTTCACCCACTAGTGTTTGCTTTAGTGGTGCTAATATTTTCCACCGTCTAGATCCTTGATCTTGACGGTGCCGCTTGCTTGTACAAATATCCCTTGCGTTTACTCATGGTTCCCTTGGGACATCCCAAGTCCCCGCCATTTTCCTTCATGCTAGCTCCATTTCCTTGTCCCGCCAGTGGTCCCGCCAGCGCATGTCCCGTTTCTCAATTTTTATTATTTGAACTCATTTGGTCCCCGACAACATTCCGGACGGCGTTCCATTTTTATTTTTTTGGGGCCCCTTGCCCTAGGTGGTCCCATCATTTCTACATGTGCGCCGATTTCTCTGGGCCGTGAGATATCTTCTCACGGCTTCCGTTTACCGTCTTTATTTGCCCCATGTTGGAATTGCTCCTTTCTAGCCTTTCGGGTTTGCCGTAGCCCATTTTCCCTTGGCCTTGGCATCCCCATGCAGTCCGTAATTTCTCAGACTGCAGTCATGGCTGTTTTCTACACCCACAGCCTCACAACCTGCCCCATGTTAAAAGAAAATGAAGCGTTAAATTTTCTAGTGCATCCGGGCTCAATATTGGCTCCGGATGTACTTAGAACATGTGTTTCTTTTCCCCCATGCAGTCCGTTGTGACTCGGATTGCAATGGGGGTCAATTCCTTAGCCCCAATGCCCCACAACTAACCCTTATTCAAAAGAAAAAGAAACGGCTAATCTCCAAGCGCATCCGGACTTGATTTTGGCTCCGGATGCACCCAAAACATGTGTTTCTCCTCATGCAAGTATTCCGTTTTATTCCAGTTGCAAGAGGCCTTGATTTTCTTTGATTTTCTCTGCAAAAATCAAAGAAAATCAAAGTCTTTTGTAACCATCATATTCCAGAATGAATCTGGTCACGGATGAATCTCCCCAAGTGACCGTTTTTTACCGTTAAGGTTTTTTTCTCTTTTCTTTTCTTTTCTTTTCTTTTCTTTTCTTTTGTTTTCTTTTCTTTTTTTTTCTCCTCCTTTCTTGGACAGTAGGGACCTGTCAATCCCTACCTATGGCAGTCCCTACTTACGGCCAACTCACTCACTCCCTCTCACTGTTTTTGTCTTATTCTCCCCCATTTTCTTTTATTTTCTCTCTTTTTCTTAGCATGCCAAGTGTCAAGTGTCCGTTAAGGCCCTTTTCTAGCCTCTTCCTCCTAGTTTTGGCCCTCCCTATGCCCAGGGTGCAGTCCGTGCAATAATGGTCTTCCCATGCCCATGGGAGCCTCCTTTTAGTCCTACATTTCTCCCACAATGGTCCCTCCTACTCCGATTTTCTCCCGGAGGGCTATTTTTTACATGGGGTCTTATTTGACTTTATTTTCTTGAGGGAGGTTGATCCGAGATTTTTCGGATTGCTCCCATGCCTCTCACTTCAGTTTTCTTTACTTTTCCTTTTCCTTTTGACCTTCCCGTTTGTCACCATTAGTACTTGCACTAGTGGTGCTAATATTCTTGGTCGTCAAGATGTTGATCTTGACGGTGCACCTTGTATTTATTATTTTTCCCTCATGTGGTGCCGCCGTTTTTTCTTTGGACTTTCACATGTCCCTGCCACTTGTCCAGTCGATGGTCCCCGACACTTAGTCCCGCCGGTGGTCCCCGACACTTAGTCTCGTCGGCGGTCCCCGACACTTAGTCCCGTCGGCGGTCCCCGACACTTAGTCCCGTCGGCGGACCCCGACGCATTTCGCCCCGGATGCAATTATTTTTACTTAGTCCTAGGTGGCCCCGGGTGCCTTTCCCCGAGGTGTCTCATGCCCCTTGGGTGTCTTGTCGCCCCATAGCGACCCCTCTCCTTAGTTTTTCCTCGCGCCTTGCGCGTGCCGATCTCTTTGGTCGTGGGTCTTCGCTCCGAGGCTCCCGTAGGTGGCCCCCACGTTGGCCCCTCATTTCCCGGCTTCCCGCGGCTTCTGGCCGCCCATCCCTCGACTTTCTCATTCCCTTATTGATGTCGCGCTGCAGTCGCTAGTTCAAAAGGCCCCTTGGCCTTAGTCCTATTGCCTTCCGATGACCCTCCCGACCTCCTGCTATGTTCTATGTGCCCTTGTTCTTGCGCTTGCTCGCTTGCCGCCGCTTAGTTCTTTCCCCCTGTGGTTCTCGCCCTAGGGCATTACTCCCTCCTGCGGCCTAATCCTTTATCTCGTCTCACTTCGGATTTCTCTGTTGTGCACAGTTCGTCCATATTCGGTCTCTCGGGTGATGGACAGTTATTTGGGACTCACCAGTCTCGACACCGTGACTCTCCAACAACAGCTTAGTAAATCGCAATTCAGTAAACTCAGCAGCTCAACAACTTCAGATTCCAACCAAAGCGTCGCCGGAAGGTCTAGCTTCTCGGACTGCAGGTGACTCTCCTTCAACTTACTTCTTACAGAGGGGCAAATGGCACATCGGCCAACAACCAAGTTTGTCCCTCACAACTCGCCTACTGCTGCTTCAATCTACTGAGTAAGTAGTGTGCCAATCAACAGGTAAGTCTGCAGTCTTTCGTAGCTCGTCTGTTGCTACAACCGTCGTTGTTTCCTGATTGCCACAACAACAACACGCTTGATCCTCCTTACTCTGCCTTAACAAGGATGGGCAGCGCCCCTAGCCAGCAGGTAAGTCCTCAATCTCCCCTTCCGACCCCCGCCTCTCTCTTTCACTACTCTCCTTGTGCAATCCCCTTCTCCCTTATCAAAACGCAGTGCTAGTATGAACTGACGGGAGTAGTAACAAGGACTAACTGTAACTGCAACCAGCAGGACTTCAATCTCGGTTGTACCCGTTTATGTGCAAAGGACCAGACAAACCCTTCATCCTGAGTACGAGTGAGTT